TTATTTCACATGTGTGTATTTTTATTTAACATTGTTTTTATATAATGTTTACACATTATGAAAATAAAGGTACAACATTAGGAAAAATATTACGAACACTTTTTATGTCACTATTGTTTATGTCTAAAGATAAGACATATGACCCCGTTAACATGTGAAAAAAAATAAAAAGTAGAATACACAAAAACTATAAGGATAAAATAATAATTATGATATATTTTATCTTTTTACAGCGATACAATGACATCATTTTTCTAATATGCTATAACATTTCGATATATGATTTATTATTTCCATATATTTTCTTTAAATAGAACAGAAATATTGAATAAATACATATTCTTAATGGCATATGCATAATTTTGAGGTATTGGTAATAAATCAGGTTCAAATAAAAAAAAAATAAATATGAAATGCTTCATATTTTTAAATATTTTTTTTAGAAATGTACGAATACATCGAAGAAACACTTATATTTATTTCCTTGCTGTCATTGAATATTATAGAATCTTTCTACCCAAGATATAATCCTTTAGATAATCAAAGAAACAAAAACAATGTATGGAAAAATTCATGCTTAAAATTATTAATATTTTGTAGTATAGGATTATATATGTATTTTTATTATTAAAAAATTTCTATTATGGGGAACAGAACATTTACAAAAACATATATGAATAAGACGTAACGATAAAACAATTTTATACACTTTAATGATTCTATTTAGTTTTCTCTTTTTGTAATTTCATTATTCTTATATAAAAAATGATAGAAAATTATTAAAATGGATTATCCAAGTTTACATGAATTATATATAAACACATTATAGAATGTGTAAGAATGAATTTATATTGTGTAACATTTAATATTAGTGAAAAACCTAATATGAATTAATGTCATAAATTTATATACATATATAAAAATAAACGTGCAATGTATTATTTTATATTGCATATATAATTCGATATATTAAAAAAAGCATCCTATATTTGATGTGATTACGCAAGAAATAAAGTATATGTTACTATGTAACATCTCCAAAATTGTAAGTCTGTGAATATGATACATAAATAATTCATATTAATAAGTGTAAAAATTCTAGTAGGTAATGAAATCATTGAATATATGTGAACATATAAAAAGAGTAATAATTCTTTTTAGTTATGTAAGGGACAACAATTCATTATTGTTATTATATATTGAAATAATTATATGTATTGTATAGTTAAAACAATGTAAAAAAATAGGAAGTATAATAAGTATTACAAAACAAAAACGATCAAGATTGTAACCCCTGTATCGCTTGTTAGTATTTAGTCCAAGTATTAGATTATATCTTTTAAGAAATTTAATTACACTTACGAATAATAGCATTAAAATTCCATTCTTTCCTATTTTCACCATTAAATAAAGCATAAATAATGAAAATATATAATTAGAACTTTTTGAATTATAAACTGAGGCACAATATATTTTATGGAACAGTTTACAACTAACGGATAAATGTAGAACTTTTAATAAATAATTATGGTAAACGTGTTAATTGTAAATTTCCTTGAACGATTTTTTAATATATTAGTTCCTTATATTTATTATCATTTACTACGATTATTTTACATTTATATTAATAAAATTGCTAAGCTATGATACTTTAAATGCATATCATAATAATATATCTAGATCGATATTTAATTGCTTAAATATATTCAATATTGTAACTCATATATTTGTACAGTATGAACTGGATCTTATATGGTTCATAGTTAGCTCATTTTTCAATCATAATGAAAAATGCAATATTTTTGTTACATTTATATAACAATTCGAATTGACCATAATTTCTTATTTAAGACAGTAATTATTTTATTTTAGAGGTGTTCTAAAAAGTAATCTACTATGTAATGTGTTTATTTCAAATGTAATAAAATTTCCATTATTATAATATTGTTAGTGTAAACATGAATGATGGTATGGATTAATTATATTTAGCATCTTTATTTCTGAGAATAGTTTTTTAATACCATAAAAATTTCCTTAAGGTTAAAATTTTGAAGCATTAATGTGAATTTAAAATTTTTAAGATACACATAATTCACTAACTACGTAATATTAATAGATCAGTCTATTCAGTTTCTTATGTTGCACGGTCTAATTAGTTATACACAGCTTGTTAGAAGAAATTTGATATATTTTTTTAGATTGTTGCAACTATTAATTCCATAATAAAAAAAAAATATACAATTTAATGCGTTCATCAAAATATGGTAAATATCAGATAGGTTTAATATTAGCGACTGTTTTATATGCATGATGAAATATCTATTTTATAAAATTATGGCTTTTCATAAAGTTATACGGCAATTGAGAAGAGCAGAATTTTATAACTTATATGTCAAGGAATTTATTCAAAAATAATAGACAATTAAGAGATCAATTATTTATTATTTTGTCTATGCCTAATGAAAAAAATAATAAATCATAAAATTCTATAACTATACTAGTATATGAAAAATATTTAAAAACTTATAAAATTTGCCAATCCTCATTCTCTTTGTCTATCGCTTATTACAGAAATATAACATATCCTGAATTGTCATATTAAATAGTGTTTATTCACATAAAAAATAAGAAAATATAGCATCGCAAGGCAAAAAAAAGCTTACACAAAGGAGATATTGATTTACGTAAGATATAATAATTATTAATACAAGTAATTATTTTCAAAATTTAAAAAATTTAACTATGCTCACACAAAATAATAAATTGTTTTTTTCGAATTTTTTTTTTTTTTAACATTTAATAGTATAGAAGCCCATAAAACTACGCATGAATCTAAGTATATTTCTCACAAATATAAAAATGTTTATATAAAAAAAATATTTTCAAATAAAACAAACGTGCATAAAATTTTCTTTTAAAAAAGTTATTTTATCTGTTTTATTTTAATTAACATTCTATATTAAATATTATATATAAAAATATACAGAAATAAAAATGCTTAGTATATATTAAACTATTCGACAATGATAGATATATAATGTTTTCTGTTAAAAAATATCCATATAATAAAATAAATTAGTAATTAAAAAGAAAACAGATACATAATAACAGAGTGCACATTTAATTTGTGCCATTTTGTTAAAAAATTAAAAAAAAAAATTTATTCTATACAATAAATTTGTATAAGGATTAAATGAAAATGTTCATCATGGAAAGGTTCTACTTTGTAGTTATTTTTTTTGTACAATATATTTTATTTTTCTTAT